GTATTCCAAAAACATTGTGCGTCTTTCGGTAATAATTTATCTCAAAACCCAGCATTTTAAATTCTCAGAAACGATCATTGCGGGAAAATTGTGGGCCGGGACTAAGATTTTTGAACGATCGATGCGATAAAACGATAGTTCGAGGAACGATAGAAGCGGGAAAATGTAACATTATTTTATATGGGATGTATTCGGGACCGAACAAAACGGACGATGCATCCGGGAACGATGGATAGAGGTTTCACTGTAATAGGTCCCAGTATGACTTAAAAGCAGAAACATAAAAATGCATAGTGAGGTGTCTGTGACCTCTGAAAATATATCTTCATTTTCTGGGATGATGTTCAAGAGAGGAGATACAGATACAAAAAATGATGTAATTCCAGGGATAGACTTTCTGTCGAGTACACAGGTTGACTGCATAGAATGAGTCGCTTGATTTTATTGTCACTCCGTATATCTACAACAGATACAAAGTCAGTTGTACACCTTCACAGTAGACTTGGCTGTTAAATGTATGTCCATAACTTTTATTATCTATTTCATGAAAATTTTGACGATGGTAGGTATAGTAGAATGAAAGATTGTGTTCAGTTCTCATTTTGATTGTCAGCTTTCTTGACTGAGGACCTGTCAAGGCAGCTCTGGTCTGCGTCATGACTAGGTGATGTAAAGGGGGCTCTCATGTCTGGTGAGTCTGTGCGCACCAGAGCTCAACAGGCTGTTGCTTGGGAACCCAGCAGTTTTTAACTTTGGAAGAGTTGAATGTGTGTACTCTCCCATGTCTAAACCTCACAGCAAATGCAGTTTTATCAAGTGTAATGCAGCAGTCAGCCAACACAGTCTCATTTATATGTACAACCGCGGTTAGCGTCTTGTAATCCATACATACACATAAATTGCATTTTGTCACCGATTTTTCAACCATCCCACACGTTTCAGCAGTACTTCCTCACCCTCTGATTTGACTGTACTTAACAGTTTATTGGTTAGTGGTCATGCTTTATATTTAGGGGGTCCTATGTAAGGTTTTTTGTTGTGAATTTTCTCTGTTTATCCAGTAAAATTCCACGGTAGTATCTTAAAATGGGCAAAAACCACAACCTTTTCATTTTACCATTTACAAATTATTCTACTGGTTGATGCTACCTAGCATAAACAGGTAAAAAACTTTTTAAATAAATCAGGGATTTCAGACATTGTGATCTTATCCTAACATTTTTCATTTGTAGGATTAAAGAGACCATTGCAAGCGGAAGGACCGTTAGGAGCCACATCTTCAGTGCAGGCTTCATCATTATCAGCACAACAACAAAAGAAGTCAACTTTTAGTGTTGATCCCAAATCTGTTGTTACTGTTGATGCCCATTTACAGAATAATTTTATTTCTAAATCACAAGGTGACTTATGCAAACTGGCCAAAGTGACATATGGACCCTCAATTTATCCTGCTTCTCAGTCTCAGAACTCCAGCTTTTCACCACAGAGCAGTGACACTGCTAATGGTTCATCAAGATTTGGTAATTCACGTTATGGTGGTGTAAAGACATATCACATAGACCAAGCATCTGCTAGAAAATCACCTCAGACTACAGGACCAGAAATTGGTGGGCCATTTGGGAAATTGGTCATAATCGAGCCAGCAAATAAAACAGATGGTGCATTGCAGACCATCCAGAGATCAACAGCAATGTGTCAGGTGCCAATGCATTGCAAGTATAAGCAGCATGTATCAACTGAAGTGTAAGTTTCTTCAATTTTTCTGACTGGTTCATTAGATTCATATCCCATTCTTTTCTGAAATAATATTTTTTTAGGATATTGTGATGGCTATCCATAAATTTGGGGGTTTGGTAAGAAAGAGTAATGGCATACCACATTCATGTAAATGTAAGTGTGTGTACCTATGTAAATCGCCTGATTTTTAACCCTTCCCAAGCAGTTTTTTTTCTGTAAGTGGAATATTTTTTGTAAAAATTATAATTATACAGAACATGCATAAACTGTTCAAAAGTACCAAAGCTAAAAAATAATTAATGATACATGAGGTTCATGTTGCAGACGGTCCATTGCCAGCAAAGAATCTGTAACATGATGCAACTTCCATTTTCAATGCAAAATGTCATGTCTTATTGCAGCCATAAATAGCATACTGCATGGAACAGCCCTCTTTGAGAAGCTTATAGTTACCTTAGCTGGTCAGGAAATTAATTTTTTGTAGATTCCAGAGGTTCATTTCTGCTGACAGTCCCTAATCCAAGGTCTTGTGTAACATTTTGTGGCATGCTTTATTTTATGGTAAGGAGTTGTTAGCCCCTTGTCCAACTCCCAAGCTGGAGGACCAACACTTGTCGGCTGTCCAAGACTGCCTATTCAATATCTTCGCAGCTACCCTTCATATCTGGAGGGCTTTCCTCCATTTGCATCCTTTTCCTCCTCATGTGCACTCGCTTCCCGTATGTCTTGTGATCCACCCACTGGTCCCCAAGGGCTGTTTTCTTGGACTTCTCTCTTTTGCATGTCCCTCCCCTTCTGGCCGGCCAGGCTGTGGCATGCACCCCCCTCCTATTTTCTCCCAGACCCTCACCCAATCCTGACCCTCCTCTGCACTGGTCTGGCCAAGGCTCTTCCTAGACTGATTGGTTCTTTTTTCTCAAACCAATTCCATGCACACTGCTTACTCATAACCCTAATGATGGAGGCAGCACTGACCTCTGAAATGTTTTTAAGGTTTTACCAGACTATGTAAGATTTGAAGTTTTCACAGCGGTGAGTATGAAGATTTCTGTCTTCTGGGTTGTTGCGCTGTGTAGTCTGGTCGATGTTTACCAACGTTTCGGAGGTCATACTGCCTCCGTCATCAGGGCGATGAGTATGAAGATTTCTGTCTTCTGGGTTGTTGCGCTGTGTAGTCTGGTCGATGTTTACCAACGTTTCAGAGGTCATACTGCCTCCGTCATCAGGGCGATGAGTATGAAGATTTCTGTCTTCTGGTTTGTTGCGCTGTGTAGACTGGTCGGTTTTAACCAACGTTTCAGAGGTCATACTGCCAATGTCATCAGCCTAGACCAGACTAGACAGCATTACAACCCAGAAGACAGCCATCTTCGTACTCACTGCCGTGAGAACCTCAGATCCTACTATTTGTTATTAAGATAATGTGAGCACCACAGAAAATATTTTACAGTTTAAAAAATTGTGTTTTCAGCTATGTATATATACATTTATTTTATTTGAGATATGTTTGTTTGTGTGCGTTTACATTTCAAATCTTGTATCAGTCAGTAACTTATACTGCAGAAGGTTAATGAAACATGATGGCAATGCTGAAACAAAAATAATGAATTTATATATTGATGATAAACTTTTCTTAATTGTATATGTTCACGGAATGGAATGTATGCCTTATTTAGAGGCACATTATATTTGAATAAATACAGTCTCTGTGTATAAAAATTATGTTGTAATTATAATCTAATAATTTATAAAATATATGTAGTATTCGTATTTGGATCGCATGCCTTATGGGACACTGGCTTAAATTTGACATTCCTGTATACCGTCATGATGTGCTTAAGTATTATGTTTTGGGCCATTAGTTTGAAGTTGCATAGTTTTACAATACTTACTATTGCTACAAAGTTGTTTCTATATTGTCCGTACTTGTTTGTAATCAAAATACAGGTGTCTGAAAAGTAACTCCTTGTTTTGTTTGTCTTACAAAAAGCTGAGAAATTGTGTGAATGAGAAATAGTTTCCAAAATATTGTACTTTATTTTATGTTATTGTTTCACACCTCTGCTATCCACCCACATTTTTGCCCTTGTCCCTGTACTTCTGTGTGCCATTTTTGTTTGTGTGTTGTCACCAGGCTTCCCTGTGTATCCACTGTCCCTTACTTAGGACTGAAAATGGTGACACAGCCATATCGGTTAAAAACCTTGACCATAACGAAGTTAACATGTGGTGTGGATTCACTACTGCTTAGTTTCTGAGGCCATACCTTGCACAAAACATAATGGATAGTGTTTGTTAACTCAGAAAGTTAGAAAATTATGGGTGCCAGCTGTATCACAGCGGGGAAAATGCACAGAACAAACTTTTATGCAAGACAGCGTTTACTTTGCATTGCTTTCCAACACTGGATGGATGAGAAGCGTCAAATGGCTTAGTTGACGAGATTCAACGGGATGGCCAACAAGAAGCCGTGGCCTGATACCATGATATGATTTCTTCTTTTGGGAATGGAGTAAAGAAGAGGTTTACAAGAATAAACTAACGAACTTTGGATAATGTACTAATTTCTCCCTTGTGTTGAAATGTGAATTTTGTTCTCTTTCTTGCTTTGTTGTCAGATTGGTGCAAGAATTTAAATTAAAATTGAAACTATTTACTCATGTAAGACTTGAGGTTCTCACAGCGGTGAGTATGAAGATTTCCGTCTTCTGGGTTGTTGCGCTGTGTAGTCTGGTCGATGTTAACCAACGTTTCAGAGGTCATACTGCCTCCGTCATCAGGGCGAAGATTTATCTATTCTTCTATTTACTCATGATTGGCTGGTTTCGACTCCTGAGGTAAAATTTAGCAGTTAGCGTAGTAACACTATGTCACTTGAACTGACTATTGCATGAATTCAGTTAATGCTGGTCAGGCCACTTCAGAGTAGAATATTGTTATGGTCTGTTGAAGTATTACATATCAAAAAGTTTTAAACTTCTTGAGTCCTGATTTTCAATGGTTGAAATATGAGTGTGTTTGCCTGTTGCTTATAAACAGTTGCTTTGAAATGTGGGGTTCTTGATGAATTTGGAGCTGAAACAATAAAATACCAACTTTATCATTGTTGAATGTTCAAAGTCTGAGTTTGACCTCAGGACCTGATGATTACAACATAGTGTGTACAGAATGCAGATTAACATGTGGAGCTGTGAGGTATGTTGCACAAAATGGTTGAAGTATTCTGAAAATAATTCCTCTTTTGCGTATTTTTTCTGCTTTCTTTAAATGAAACAAAATAGTGAGTTTCTTTCCAGACATCATGAATACAAAGTTTTGAAGGAATGTGAAGTTAACAGTTAGTTGACAGTCAATAAAGTTATTGGTAATTTTGATTCATTAAAAATATCAGCTGCTTTATAAAACTTATAGCTTCAAGCTGCAAAATAGTCTTTTGTTCAATGCATTAAACAGAAGTAATCTGAATCTTCTATTGGTATTAGTTCACACAACAGCAATGCCACCCTCTGGCTTTGATAAGTATGAGACTTGTTTAAGTGAAACCTTGTTTGTGGATTGTTTTTGGTAAAGAAGTAGGGGCCATTTAAATTGCCAGTATAGGTGTTTGAGACGTGCATCTCATTGGTGCACCAGCCAATGGATCCCATCCACAAATAATTAATTGGGTTCCTTCTGGAACTACTGCACTACCACAGCCTTGATAATTTTGTCTGACTTAATCTACAGCCCTTTAGTGTTTTAGGAATTGTCCAACGCTTTCCAGTACAGGGTGTATGGCGTGTCCTGGACAGTGTAGGCCACATGGGTGTGGGTGTTACTCTGCAACTTGTTGACTATTCTTTACCTTCATGGCAGTATGATAGTCTCTGAAGGTTCCACGGTGGTGCCATGCATCGATGGTGATGCCAGGGTTTTTAATACAGGCATATTAGGATATATATTTTTCTTCAAAACTAAGATTGTAGTAAAAATGAATACTGCAAAAAGTGGTACTATTACAGAAATTAAGTTCAGGTACATATTATACAATTTTACCTTTTCTTTTACCCAGAAGATTCTGGGCAAATTCCCATGAAAGTCTGTTTGGATTTGATTGTAGGATTCACTGGAACAGGTTTTTCTCATGCAAATCATTTTGTCAATATTGCATAATCATCTATTATATTTCCCAGGGTGTGCAGTAGGCCTTGCCAGCCCTTTTCTTCTGACCGAGCACTTGCCTAGTCTCAGAGTAAGTTTCTTGGTTCTTTAAGGAATAGTGGGTACATATTACTCATCCATAGAGCTTTCAGTGGATCATATGCTGTGGTGGAACTAATGAAACGGATTGAATATAGATAAAACATTACAATTAGTGTCGGACCATCACAAATAATATAGTGTTGATAGGTGCACACATTTATTTCACACGTATGGAATAATTTCAATAGAAGCTGGGTGTAGCCACTGAATTTTGATTGTTAAAAGATAGCCTATGTAGCAGTACAGTAACTATACATTTTATGTGAAGAACCTGAAATATATTCTTAGTAATTCTCTTTCTTTGTCTTGCCTTCTGTATTCAATTTGTGTTCTTCACTTTGTGTGCTTCGGGTACATTATTTTAGGTGTGGTACATGTGTCGTTAAAATGAAGGTGTAGGAAACCAGGAGGCGTATAGGGGACATGGAGGTAAACCTCCAAGTTAAAATGAAGGCGTAGGAAACCAGGAGGTGTATAGGGGACATGGAGGTAAACCTCCATGTATTTTAGACCTATGCTCTAGACACATACATGAGTGGTTAGCTTCATATTTCATCTGCTTTACCTCTGGTGGAAGAACATTTTATATCCATTGAATGGGAGGTTTGATGGACCCGAGAGCCTTTTTGAACGTGGTGGCAAAGAAATTTCTGTCAAACACCCCAATCAGAAAACTTGAACCCTGGTCATTCATTTCTATATTGTCGCAGCTGCCATGGCTTGTGATTAATACTAATGACTTGTATATGGGGCAGTTAAAAAGGGAATGATCATTTACCATAAGGGCAATGACAGATGACACTTCATTTTATCTGCACTAGGATTTTTCTGATGAGTAGCTAATAGTAAAGTTAACTTGATGTTTTTAATAACTTTTATTTTTCACAGAAATAGAAAGTTTCATCTTTCAAATTTTTAGTGATCCACGTTTATAAGAGGCATAGATGGTCACATCACTAATGATAAACTGACTCTGGAGTAGAGACCTTGAGAAACTAATAATCACTTAGCTTCTCAAGAAATATTTCCCTATTATGAAACTTAATAAATACTTGTTGAAATTATTCTGATATTGATCGAGTCATAAAATATGTGCTGGGTTTATGTTAAAATAGTTAATACTGAACTTTCCATCATTTTATGATTTCTCTCCATACTGTTCTGAATGTAGTTCATGATTAAGAAAAGACATGATTTTTTATTGTAAGTCAATTCAGCATGAGAACGTATCAAGAACTGATTTCCTACTAATGTATGAATTGACTTTTCTGTGTAAGATGTTTTGACATGTCATGTTCTTGGTTGTGTATAATAAAATTTGTTGTCATGAAATTGTACTATTTTTAGTGTTAACAAATAAAAGTTGTAATAATATTCTGCAGGTAAGATTTTGAAATAAAAATTAATGTTAGCATGTAACCAGTTTAAATTTTATATCTTATATGTGCATCTGTTCGTGATGAACCAAAGGACAATTTAATTTTTGTATATATTTTCTAGGTCTTGCAGTATATATGTGAATGGTAAATTACTGGCATCATCAACTGAGAGGTACAAAAAAGCAGCATCTCGTGTAGCTGCCGAGGAAGGATTGAAGAAACTTAAGGAAACTTGTTACACAATTAAGGTAGGCTCTATGTTTCAGTATTTTTCTTTTTGCCGGTCACAGTGGCCGCGTGGTCTGAGGCGTGGGCCTTGTGCCACTTTGACACTGGGACCATGGGTTCGAATCCCACTCAAGGCATTCATGTTTGTCCGCGTCTTTCTGTGTTGTGCTGTCCTGTGTACAGATAGAGGCCTTGCAATGGGCTGATCACTCATCCAAGGAGTCCTACCAAATGTCTAATAGATCACGCAAACCTCCAAAAAGAGAGGATAAAAGCAAACCCTGCCAAAGTGGGACAAATGCTAAAGAAAAAGAAGACATGTTTCAGTATTTTTGATGTCATGTTTACTTCATAGTATTTTTATATTTATAAAGATAATATCTAACTCCACTTACAGATTATTTTGGGGTGAGGGGGAATACAAAAGAATTGCCTAATTATGCCCTGGTCATAGCATTACAGTAGTCTATGAGTGTTGTATTAATAAGACATTAGCCATTTTTTATCTGCAGCTTGGTTGTCACTCCTTACCTTTCTATTATTATAATTTTGCTTGCTGATGTTTATTCTTTGTGCACTAATATTTCTAACATGATACTTTGAGACATAAAACATACCTAAAGTAGAAAGATGGCTGTCTTCTGAGTTGTAGTCTGGTAAACTTCTACCAGACTACGTGGCACTACAACCCAGAATACAGCCATCTTTCTAGGTCAGGTATGTTTTATGTCTTACCTTAATTTTCACAATGTACTTTTTTATTTGTACCAACAGTAACATTACTTGTTTTTAGTGATTGCTAGACATTTTTGTTCATAGCTTTGTAACATGCATTATTTTGTTTTCAGACAAAACTGAAGTTCTTATCTGATACGACCATAAACAAATCTTTAGGTATAACATGTAATTCAGATACAGAATTTGCTGATGTTAATGTTCCTGTATCAGACAACAATATTGGCAGCAGGTTGTTACGGTTAATGGGTTGGAGTGGTGGAGGACTTGGAAAAGATGCTCAGGGAATTGAAGAACCAGTAAAGTAAGTATTCTTATATTAAGAAAGACATCGGTATATTTGTTTTGGCCACTTTTCATGTATGTTTTAGTGTCTTGAGTTTATTTTATTGCATATAACATAGTATCATAGTACAGGTTGGCTTACATAAGGTGAAAGTATCGTTTCCTGTACTTGTTTATTTGTATCAAATTCTTAGTATCTGAAGAAACATGTTCAGGTAGACAAGATGGCATTCATACACTGACTTTCTGCAAAGAAATTTTACCTACTTATAATAATAATTAGCAGATAATATTTTTGTCTTTGTATCAAAATTAAATGACTGTTCCACTGTTAATAGTTGTACCTGCCTGTCCAGTGTTTAACTTTATCTGAGAGATGGGATGCAATTCAAGTGGGACCCTTTCTTGGCCTTTGAGGCAGCAGTATTCGTGCCTCATTTTATGACATTGTGTGTTATCTGTATTTTACGTATAGGAACTGGTTCTATGCAGTTGATATTTTGATGACAAAAGGGTATATCCTGTTTTAGAATGTAAGTAAAGTTTGGAATCTTTTATAAGACTTTTGGAAGAAGTTTCCTCCACAATCAAACCAGCTTTACTGGATTACAGAAGACCGTGCCCAAGATTTGCCATGTATAACATCCAACATCATTTTATCCATAATGCTGTTGTCATTAGCAAGACTTCCGAGAAGGTGTGCACAGTAGTGTCGTTCCGTGGATGCAGTCACTCCTTGGTCCATGGGCTGTGTAATTTCTGTGACATGGGGGAAACAAAAACTTTACAACAGTGTGGCCATTGTCAGAAGTCAGTACACGTTCTCTTGGATGAAAATGAGCATTGTCTAACAGCAACACTGTTTTCAACAATGCCCAATGTTCAGGAACAAAGTGCTTATGGAATCAATTTTCAAAAATCTCTCTATCAATTCATACTCCTTTCAGGTTTGTAATAATGCAATAATGCACAGGAAAGCAAGTTGCTTAAGTATCCCTTACTGATAATGGTTTCTTGCTTTTCCATTCGCTTCAAGTTTAAATTTATTACTTTCAAATGCATTTGCACAACATATGACTGTAAGGCATTCTTTACATACCTCTTTCTACCTAGAAGCACACTTGTCTTTCAAACACAAAGGTTCTTGTTGGTAAGCCTTTCCAGTATCAAACACTGTAATTTCCCTGTCTCCACCATCATGAACATTGCAACAAACCTCTCCACCTGACCACAGAATGCTGATTGAGAAGGTATTTTTTCATCCACATCTTCCTAAAATCGAACCCCCTCCAAATGGACAGTATGACACAGAAGAAGTTTGAAAGCCTAGTTCACACGTGTCAGCATTTATGCAAAAAAGTGTTGCACAAAGTCCTGCGTAGATAATTCACAAACTGGATAACCTGTAGTTGGGTAATTGGGAATTTATCGTGCTCTGAATAACACTAAGAAAGAAATTAAGTCTTCAATTTAAAAGACGGACTCTTTACACAAAACTACATATACACTGGAAGTATCACTGTTTTAAACATCTCTGGCCCAGAAAATCTCTGTAGTGTGTTAAAAAACAGTAATGTGCCATGCTTAAAACAGAATAATGGTATAATTTACCTAATGTACTTATTCTTGGAACTTGGTCTTCTTGAGTAGCTAATAGGCACCCAACTAATCAATAAATTCCTTACCTTTTATGTAAATCAAAAGTGTCCTTTTACTGGTTCCTGTTGTGAGCCAAATGAGTCCAATCCATACCCTCCCATGTGTACTACATGCTCTGCCCCTCCTTGCTTTGATTGTCCTAATATCTAGTGACAGGTATAAATTATGAAGCTTCTTATTTTGCAATTTTCTTGAGACTGCTGTCTCTTCCTTCTTATTTGGATCCACATGTTCTCCTGAACACCCTGTTCTTAAGCTCCCTCAATTTATTTTCCTTCTACAATATGAGAGCCCAGTTTTCACATTCATCAAAAAGAAAAATGGGTAAAATTATATTTTTCTGTATTGTAATGTTTACATTTTTTGGTAGCAGATGGTCTTGGTGCTAGGGTTGTTTCAATATTCAGTATTAGTTATCTGAATAAATTGGTCTGTTTTATTGAGAAGGTAATACAATTTTATTTCTTGACCCTGCAACTGAAAACGTAATTGTTCTTAAATAAGCCTAATTTATAACGTGTCATCTTCTTCTTTACCTGTCGCCTGTTTCTATTCATGATTAATGTCTAATATGTCACTATAGTAATGCAATAAAAAAAATTGTTTTTATATGAAACTGTGTCACCATATTTGAAGTATGAAACCATGTTGTCTTACTCATGCATGCATAATATTTACAGTGATACGTAGATTTGAAAACATAATATTGCACCACTTGAGTTTGTATTTTTTCCAGTTTGTAAAATACCCATATGATATGTATAACTGTTTTATTATTTTAACACATTTTTTGTTGTTTATTTTTGCATAGAATACAAGAACATGTGAACAGAGCTGGATTAGGACTGGTACAATCAAAGTCATGTGGTTCAGATGACCGTCAGTTTAGAGACAGAGTCCATCGATTGATACGAGACTATGTAAATGGTAATTCACAAGATGATCTTGTTTTCTCTCCGGAGTTCTCCATCGAAGAAAGGAAGACTATGCATAGGTAAGTGCAGATAAATGCATATAACATGACATTCCAAAATGATCATGCCACAGAAAACAGACACAAAAAAAAAAAATATATATATATAGATTTCTGTCTTCTGGGTTGTTGCGCTGTGTAGACTGGTCGATGTTAACCAACGTTTCAGAGGTCATATGACCAATGGGAGCAGGCGTGGGAGTGGACCAATAGGAGCGCCACCCTAATGGCATATTCATCGCCCTGATGATGGAGGCAGTATGATCTCTGAAACGTTGGTTAACATCGACCAGTCTACACAGCGCAACAACCCACAAGACAGAAATCTTTATATATATCCTTCTTACATGTTTATGGTAAGCATTCCTGTTTCATATTTGGAAGGTCCCAGGATTGAAAGTCAGACAGGAGGCTGGAGGAACCTGACTGCCAGGATGGTACCTCAAAAATTGACCATAATTACTTTTTTACGTTTTTTCCAACTGTCATAAGCTTTGCCACTATAACCTTGCTGTTTACTACAAGTTCTATTTATATTTTGTTAAATAAACCAAGAAATTGTTCTGCCTGTGGCCAGTGATCTTACTAGGAATTTCAGAGCAGTGTCTGATAATAGACTATAGTCCTCCAGTTCTCGCTAATTCACAACTCATAACACTAATTTCAATCTCCAGTTTACTGAGATAGCTATTTCAGAAATTAAAAGTTTAGCATATTTAATTATTCACTTCAGTTCTTCACTTTCTTGTTGCAGCATCGCAACACGGTTCAAATTGAAAACCAAGAGTTATGGAAAAGCTGGAGATAGACATTTGGTGGTGTTTAAGAGGCGTGACATGTGGGAGATTTTGGAGCAACTACTGAGAAGTGGTGGTTCCACTGAGAGATATGATCTCATCAAGCCAACAGGGCCAACATTGCAGTAACATGTGTATGGTAAGTTACTAACTAATAATATTACTGCCATGACAGCAATATAACAAGGAACAAATAAATTTCTTATTATGTTATGTTTTAACTTCATGCAAAATCTTTCTTTCTGTGGTGGTAATTTAAAGATTGCTGGAGTACAGGAGTATAGTAGTGACAGGTGCCAGAACTTGATGCACAGTCTAGGAAGAGGAATTGTACAGAATAATTATTTAATGTTTATGATGGTTTTGTACTTGAATAGCTTATAGTGACAAGACTCTGAAGGGCTCATGCCAAGACGTATTAACCTTTAAAGTACCAAGTGTTTAAATCCCTGTACCCCTGCTGCCCTGATTTAAATCTCATTTATGCTACACTGTGTATGTGTTTTGATAAAACACTCTATCTTAAAAACAACAACAATTAAATAAAATACACATTATCAGAAAAGGTTAAGTTTGAAGGTTTCTGACAATGATGCATTACATAATCTGTAAAAGTGGTATTTTGGACTTTGTCCATCATCTATATTTCTGTACAATTACAATGTTTCGGAAGCTGGATCTCCTTCCGTCTTTAGGTAAAAGGGGAAGGACAGACACCCTAGCTAGCCTCAGACTTGAACAGCTTCAACACAGAATTTCGCAGAGCAAGAAACAATGGACACCAGTAACTCACAGACATACAAACATGGGCATCTAACTAATCTGTGAGACACTCCTATGTCGATACAGAATACAAATAAAACAACAGACGAAAACAACTGTGGCAGTGAACGAGAGAGATGGGATGACATCAATAAGAATTAATAAAATCAATAAAATTCAATGAGGCCAATAAATGTGTTTTACAGAGAAAAGTTCTCTGTCATTTATCCAGCAAACTCATAAACAGAAAATACTACTGCTTGTTAATCTCAAACAATTGTGCTTGGAATTTAAAATACACCTCCTATCTTTAAAAATTTTACTCTCAAATTTTTGTTTCTTTATGGCCACCATAGTGTGTGTGTAACAGTAGAATCCAAGGGAAAGCATTTAGTATATTTTTCACATCAGAATTTGAAGTTAATGGCTGCTGCTTTGCCAGAAGAGAAAGACTAGAGTTGTTGTTTTTGTTTCCCCTTGGTATGCTTCAATTAGTCACAGACATGTATGATCCAAAAATGACAGTCAACTGCAGACTGTTATTAAATAATTATTTCAGGCTGATGATTTTGATGTAGCAGACAGTGTAGTTTACAGGCAGTGAATTCATGATTGTGGTCATACAAAAACTGTATCCATGACAAACAGCAGATAAAACAACAACCCATCAATATGCAGCAAGGTCACAAGCTTCATGTTTGAAGATGTTGAAAGAAACAATTCTGCCAGACAATGAAGCTGTTATTTTACTTGATTTTTTTAAAGAATTATGCATTCTTATGCCAAGATACCATACAAGAGTTCTGTTGGAAAATTAATCAGACCACTTTCCAACTTTTTGTGGTTTATTATGACACATCAGGACCAGAAAATAGCTTGAAATAAGAGTATGCAAGTGTCATCAGTGATTATCTTGAATATACAGCAGTTACATTTCAGTATTTTATAAGTTGCATTATGTACCGCTTGGTTTCTGATGTTTTAATACAGTGAAGGATGGTATATTATTTAAATAATTATGTAAGTTCACAGAACAAGAAATGTAAAAAAAAAAAAATCTTGCAGTTGGTAGGATTAGAAGTTCCCACAATAGTAAGTGGTTATAGCACCAAAAACTTTGGTACAAGTTTAGAACTTCTGAAACACTGATAAACTTCTACCATGTAAGATTTGAGGTTTTCACAGCGGTGAGTATGAAGATTTCTGTCTTCTGGGTTGTTGTGCTGTGTAGTCTGGTCGATGTTAACCAACGTTTCAGAGGTCATACTGCCTCCGTCATCAGGGCGATGAATATGCCAATAGGGTGGCACTCCTATTGGTCCACTCCCACGCCTGCTCCCATTGGCTCGGGGCAAGCTACTCCATTCACATTCTGGCACCTATAAACCTAGCCCCTAGACGGAGGCAGTATGACTTCTGGAACGTTGGTTAACATCGACCAGACTACACAGCGCAACAACCCAGAAGACAGCCATCTTTTTGAACTTATGGTATCAAGATGTTCATGTAGCTGCAGAGTGGAATATCTTTGCTACTTTGCATGTTGAAGTCCTTAGATTTTGATTGGTGGAACAACCTAGCATGAGCATATGGCAACACAATTACATTAGCTGATATCACTTAACACTGGTAGAGAAATGAAATGTCTGTCCTTTCTTTCTTTTATTGAATATTTTTACAAATAATCAGAACAAGGATGAAATATGTATCAACAACAGTGTTTAAAGAGACTGTCTGATCTTTTGCGGCTTGCCATGATCAGACTTCTTGCATGTCACAAGATCCTTCAAAACCCAGTCATATAGTATGCCATACTGTGGGACATGTAGGTTTTTAAAGGAATGTTTTATTGTGGTTCAAAATGAATGTGTTTAATGTGACCATATGGTCACACCAGGCATTTAAGGGTTTAAATATGGCCATGAGCATCTTGTATAACTGCAGCTTAAGAATATTACCAAAGCTGTTTGTATTCATGAAACATAAAAACAAAATACAGTACTTTAGAGTTAGGAAACAGTTTTGAGTGGTGATAAATAATATTGCATTTATTTAAAGATATTGCAGGATATGTTTCAAATTCAGGTAGAAAGTGAAATGTACCTGCTTATTGAGCAATAGGATACTACCCGTAAAATAAGTGCTATCACCTAACTAAAGCAGAAAATAAATATTAAACAAATTAAATCAGATTTCTGCTGAAGATTACACATGCAAAATAGCAGCCACCCTCAAATTTGTAAAGTGAACCATGTAATATATCTTTTAATTAATGAAATATTTAGGTTTTTGCATACTTGGTTCTTTTTACTCAAATTATTTTTTTAGACAATGCAAAATTGAAATTTCAATTAGTTTCATTTTTCATCTGTATGATGTGCATCAGGTGACTATTCCTATTTCTTATGCAGTGTTTTGCAACATGTAAGATATTTTTCTTACAACATCCAGTTCCATGGTAAGCATCTGAACTTTATCTGCCACCTATAGTCTTGTTCATACCAGTGCCTCCAAAAGGAGAGGCTTCTTCACATTCTCCAGTATATTTAGTCCTGGATTGCTGCAAGTCACCTTGAGAAGGCTTTGTTTTATGTATCGTTTGAGCTCTCCCTAAGTTGTTCAGTATTTCTTGGACCACATTTTTCATCTCAGGTTCTGGGCATTGGGTCAGTGGTTGTATCAGTTCAAGTGGTACCTGTAAAATATGATTACAATTCAGAAGAAGGAGATGGTATTATGAAAACAAGAGGAAAGATTTGTGCTTCCAGTATACCTACACGCAAGTGGTCTTGTACAAGATTCTTCAAACATCACTAATTAAAAATTATTTTTCATAACAAAACATTTCTTTAATAATATAAAATTTATTTCTGAAAGGTTTTGAATTTATGTATATTTAATATTTACCATACTTGACCAATAATATCTACACCATATTTCCTTAGAATAAGTAATGTAAGCCTTAGTGGCCCATGCCATAAAGAACACCTATGGTATGCTGTTAATAGATTTATAGAATAGTTGAGTTCGTAAAAGTTAGAATGGTAAATATCTTATAACAAAATTTGGCCAATGAGAAAATTTTATGTAGTTTTAAAGAAACGTTTTTTAGTACACACTCAACCCTTTGTTGAAATTATGTATCATATTTCATATAGAATAAAAAGCATATGGAGGGGGGACTTTGTTTTCAGCCATTGTCCAAACAACATGGATCATAAATTATTTCAGATTATGTACATTAGTAAATTCTTCAAAGACAGATTTAAATTAATAAATTTGCTTGTAAACTGGAAAGAAGCATATAATAGCTAGTTTTTATTAGAGGAAGACTCTTGTACATACTTCTTTCATTATGTCTCGAAGCACTTTTCCGTTGGGGATGTCATAGGTGAGTGACTGCAAGAGTCGAAGTTCCATAAGCTTCAGTTCATAGGTGGTGTCCGTCTGAAAATCATGAGCTATTGCTGATAGCAGATCAGTTTGTTGTTGTAAGAACTTGAGTCCATTCTGGTTTATGCTTGTGTTGTACAGTGCCATTAGCAAAAGTCTGCACAAAACACAAAAACTTTAGTAATTTTCCATAATGTCATTACAAGAAGACAACCACAGATATAACTATAGCTCTTTATGCTGTTAGCATCCTACCTAGTGCAGTAAAGTATTCATGGACCTATTCTGTCATGATTTAATATAACATTAAGCCAGTGATCGGTGAAAGAATCCTGGTATCGGTTTTGCATTGTCATACATCATAACAAATTAACCAGATGTGATATTAGTGCTTTATATTTGCACTGTAATTCTGAGGTCTTATGTAGGACTAGCCTTAGGGTTGAGTGCTTACCAAACTTTGGTATTTTGTGAAAAGTTATTAATACATATTTTTTAACTAAGGAAAGGAAAATATTAGCAGAGTAATGAAGTGTGTGTGTTTTTAATTTTATGGCTTTCCTGACATTTGACACATTCTGGTACTTTAACAATCGTGTTACAGCAATGAGCTTTTGTATGTGTTACACATGAGGTGAAGACTTGTATGGAGCTCTTACCAAATTCCTAAATTCTTCTGAACTGGATGTGAAAAAATTAATAACAGACTGCATTGATTGCTACCAACAAAGGTTTAGTTCATCATCTATAAAATGAATAACCAAATTTGATGCATTATCACTGCGTTATACATCAAAATGTTATATGTTGCAAACTGGACCCAGACCTGAGAACAGTATGCAGAAGGTGATAATGATATTTTATTTTTAACCAGAAGAAACTGTTTCTTCACCACTTCCAATTTAAAGCATTTGTGGAAAAAGTCAGTGCCTGGTGTGATTTGTTATTTCTTAATAATGTATTATGCTTCAGCAAATGGTAATTGAGCACTGAAGCAGCAGTTTTGTTTGGTAGTGACAAAGGTGCATTTCACATGGAATTAACTGTATTTCATGAATATTTCTCTGTTCCATCCAAACTTCATCATGAGCAATTATGGACAAAATTTACAAGTGAAATACCCTGAACTGAAGAAGCTAATAAAACTGTGCACTATGTTCATGTCAACATACGATTGTAAGGCTGCTTTTTCTAAAACGAACTTCATAAACAACAGATATTTCAGCTGACACAAACACTTATCAGAATTGGTTAAACCAGCTTAACTCCAGATTTTGGCCTTGTGACACAATGTAAGAAATGCCACTTTTCTCATTGAAAACTGGATATAATGATAAGATACTTTCTTATTGCTTTTCTTTTTGGACATTTCATTTTAATGAGTATTTCTTTCACTAATTTGTTTCTGAGCTTTACTAGGTACAGACTACCATTCATAAATTTGAGTTATGACTATGTTTATAAAATGTAAGATTTGAGGTTTTCACAGCAGTGAGTATGATGATTTCTGGGTTGTTGCGCTGTGTAGTCTGGTCGATGTTAACCAACGTTTCAGAGGTCATACTGCCTCTGTCATCAGGGCGATTCATCGCAGTATGACCTTTTAAACGTTGGTTAACATCGACCAGCCTACACCGCGCAATAACCCATAAGACAGAAATCTTCATGTTTATAAAAATTACATCAGACCTTGGGTATGTGCCAAGCCTCTGAAGTGGATTGAGATAAAATTAATTGATGACCCCTGGTCTAGACTTTAGTCCAGAAATTAATCTATGTAGATTATCCCTTTGAGGTAATGCAAAAGGAAAGCTGTTAGCAAAGAAGGCCCTCTGTTAGGTATATGAGCCGTGATAGTTGAATTGTGCCACAAGATTTCCAAAGATCTTTGACACTGTTTTTCCACAAATAATGGTATGTGGCACATTAAAAGACTTGCTCAAAGCTTTCAATGTAAGTGTATAAATTTTTGTACAGTGCAGTTAAATTCCATTAGTAGTCAAATGCACACCAATTGTTGTACCACGGAGCACCACAATAATTACATTACACGACTGCAAGAATTCCTTTATGAGGGATGACATCTAATTTTCACATGTAGTATGTTCTTATATTTGCAGTTTTCCATGCTAAAGTATGTAAATGTTATACATACTAACTTTTTATATGGGATTTAATTCAGACTGTGTTACATGGATGGCCAGATAAATCACAATTATGTAGTGTCAAAATGCAGCTGATTAACCATAAATTGTATTTATCATATTTTTTTACACTACAAGATTCAAATAAAACCTAGAATATTGAGAATTGATTTATTTACCAGTGTACAATGCTTTGAAACAGCTGGCCTTCATGCAAGGTTCTTGGATACTTTATGTTAATTTATAACTATATTATTTTCATATATTTTGTTTGAAATATCTTGTTCCCCTTTCTTATAACAGCCATCACAGAAAAGTATAGCCCCTGCTCCTATTCTAGGCCCTGTGAAAGCCCACTGTGGGCAGAGAATGAAGTATTTATTTATTTAGTGTAATTTGTTCTTTGCAAGTAGAACATGTGTCAGGAATGGGTTGCATGACTTTTTTGATCACTCTGTGCTTTAGCTATCAGTGGTGGCAAAATTGGCCAATCATATCTTTACGTCATGTCATCTGAGTGGCAAGAGAGTAATCTCAGTTGGTGATAAATATATACGCGTCATTACATGCCAAGTTCACGATCCTAGCACTGGATTAGATCTTGGTTATCTTTCCTGATCATAATTCAGTACGCAAATGCAGTTCAACAGTCTATTACCAAAATAATAAAAATAAAGTAATGATTTTAAGTATACATACAAAGATTTTAATAATGTCATGATGTAATTCAACAGTATACTCCCATAGCCACTCACAGATACATATAATGGGATACATATATCCTTTCCAAGCCTTGCATATTGAAATATGTACATTGATGAGAATACTTTTCCTCTTCATTTATTTTTGCTTATTATGTATGTTAGTCATACTGAGAAACTAGTGTCAAATTAATAAACCATTTGATATAGCAATAACTTGGTACTTAGATTATAAACAAGAAGCCACGGGAGAATGCAAAAATTATGAAGACACATTAAAATATAAACAGTGTACTGCACTCTGACTTTGTAAAAATGTCTTTCCTTCTACAGTTTTACTAGATTATTATAACTGTAAACTTTTACTTTCAGATGATGTTAATAAAAATGACATACCTTTTCAAGCAATTTCCTGAAGGTGCTGGAATAACTGGAAGGATTCTGTTGAACTGTTCAAGAAGCTCCCTCCCATTTGGGTTGCTAACAAGAAATTGTCGACCAGCTGGTGCTGCAGCAATGTTAGTTACAATACCACACATAGACATGATGAACTGGCTTTCATCGGCACACTGACCTGGCATGGAGGACTCATAAGTCTCCATAAATGAGATCAGTGATCCATTCACAATAGCCAGGAAGTCTCCAACTTTATTCTGTAAGACGGATCATTGTCAATTCTAAGCTATTTGTTAATTATTCTTACAATATTAAGAAACCATTATCGTTTTTGTTATATATCAAAGATGATACGGAGGGAGGACACAGAAATAGTGCTAGTCTAACATTACAAGACCTTCATCCATGCGTTAAATAATACTAATGACTTCTGACTTTACTTACATCTATGTATTATATCAAATTAACTTGTGAAGAGTGCAAGGAATAAGTTAAAGAGATATAAAATCATATATCGTATAGTTTTCAAACGGAAGAGAGCAGTAGTCTAGATCAGTACTTTTCCACAGTTTCGTTAGCAAAAAAGTTACATGGTGTTATTACTTGTACATCAGTCTTAAAATAAAATGACTGTACTTGTATAAATGTGTAGGAAGAAAAAGTATTTTGAAGAGTTAAATGAGATTAAGGATTTACAGATAAGTCTTAAAAGGAAAGGGAACATGAGGTTAATATTCTCTTGCATCATTTTCCATCAGAAGTAGGGCAGCAGTCTGTTGCAAACAGCAGGGCATAAAATATACCAACATGGTCTTGTAATTTATATCTTCTTCCAGATAAAGTCACCACCTTGTACTCAAACTATGACAACTACAACTCAGAATAAAATCTTCTAACACAGGTGTTCACAGTCTGCAGTCTGTCTATGTGTTTTGTGTGTCACATTTTTATAATATTGTATTGTCGTGCATGTTGAGAAAATACTGTAAAATGTTTACATAATTTTAAGTAAATAGTAAAATAGAATGACAATTAAATTTGTTAAGAAAACAACTGAGTAATATGTGAACCTATTTGCTTGGCATTTTTAATACATTTTCTTGAAGTCTGGAAATTGATGATAAAGGTTAAGTGTGAGCCCTAGGTCTTGAAGGGTTGAGAGCCCCTGATACAGCTACTGGAGTCAGTTTTAGGGGGTTATTTTAATAAATGGTTATTTACCTCATGCATAATTAGGCAGTAACATAGATTCTATTCCAGAACTAAGCCTTATATTGGGAGAATCATGAGAGAGCCTGTTTGTAATTTATTCTGCGCATTACATCAATAAAGACAGTTTTTTTAAAAAAGAAGTTCTTAAGTCTTAATAAAGAGATTAAAACTTGGGCTTACTTAATACCTTACATAATGTTTATGTTTGTCTACAGATGTTTTTACCCATTATGTATTGATTCAGTAGTTTTTGTAATGTGTAATAAATAGGCCTTAATGGTAGTGTTTCAGAGAAGAGACCTTGGATACAGTTTTACTGAACTGTTCTGTTAAAGAAAAAATCTTCCAATTAGTTATTAATTAACTTACATTGGATAATAAATTCATATCCAAATATTATAATCAGCCTTTACATGAGAACAGCATGTTGAAATTGAAAGGAAATTCAAAATAATGATATAGGAATCACATTGGAACATTATAATTCTACTATTCTTACTCTAAAATATGAATACAGCTGAAAATTAAATTATTTAGATGGAAAAATATGAAATTCAGAAGTTTGCATATGCAAATAACAATGTTATTTGGTCTTCTTATCAGCTACGTACCAGGACATGAAGCATTGCATTTACAGTATTCCTTGTGACTGTGGTATGTGTTACATCAGGGGGCCCAACAGATAGGTTTTCTGTTTAATTTTCAATAAATATGTAAAATGATTTTCACTGGAAGAACAAATAATTGAAGCTGCATGAGCATCTGCTTCCCGCCTTTTTCACACTGGAAGAACAAATAATTGAAGTTGCATGAGCATCTGCTTCCCGCCTTTTTACCTGATGATGAAAGCAGAATGCAGCTTTTGAACCATTGTAGTGTTATAATGTAGATGATGGACGGAGTCAGAAAGAACAGTTTTACTCACTTTAATGCACCATCGTCAGAAATCTGCAAACTTAGGATCCTGTCTGCTTTCCAAAACTCAGATGATCAGAATATACAAGACAATATGTTTGCCACCTACTTTGTATGGTTTTAAAACAGTCTCTTAATTCGAGGGGAGACTATAAATTACAAGTATACTAAAGCAAATTCTCAGGAACATATTGGATTAAAGAAGGATGAGGCAATGTGTAGATTAGTGTACTAGGTAGCTAGATTGGGGAAGAATTAATGCATGTAGAATCTTGGTTGGAAAACCTCTTAGTGAATTTCCACTTGGAAGATGAAGGAGACAAAGTAACATTCAGGTGGATGTATGATGGGTCAAACTAGCTCATAATTTTGTCCAGTGTCATTCTCTGGTATTAACTGTGATTAACCTTTTGATTTCTATGATGGCAGTAATTAAGACAGTTAAATTCATCTGTGGCAATCTGTAAACCAATATCAATGCTGCCTGTTTCCTCCCCTGTTGTGCAGTACTGGGAAAAGTGACTTCATTGTAAATGTGTTCATGGTGGGAAACTATAGCTGATAGAAGACCGTATATGGATTATGATTCTGATAAAGGATGATAATGTCGACTCATTTAAAGACTAGCGAGTGAGGCTGAAAGTTATTCAATTTAATTCATTTATTTAAGTGTTTGCCAACAGCAAGAAGCCAATAACAGGCAAACACTGATTCAATTCAATTTTTTTTTTCCCCAATTCAATTAATTTATTTACGTGTTTGCCAACAGTGGAATAACACACTTGCTATAGATAAAGCCAAAGTTCAGTTATTTATAGCCAAAATATATGACCCAAATGTTACTGCTACTTCCAAGATAAATGAAAACCCACCAGATTTATTTTTAAAGTTTGAATGTCTGTTTCCTTATAAGACTGAAGATGCAGTGTTACAAAAACTGCTTTAAAAGGAACCTACAGTGTTTTATCAGAATTTCACTGTATCTCCTCACATGAATATCAGTTGCTTACAGCTAAAAAAAACAATTACTTATTGTGAAACTTAAAAATAACTCTTTATGTTGAAGGCTCCACACTAATAATTAATGTTCTCTGTTCTCTAAAGTAATTTGGAAGTTTTAAAATACTAATAAATTAATTCAATGATGGTAAAATCTTTAACTCCTCTTTGTTTCTCGAGCTGCCCATCTTGCCTCTTCTTCAACTTTTTTGTGTCTTTGCCTTAATTTAAAATTGCCTGAACAGCTTGCACCCTCCAGAATTATTGCCTGTAATTAATGTCATATTGTCTCCACCACTCAGAAAAATATTATCTGTAGTGGTACCAACTATCACTTATCAGCAAGTGTAAATTGTAGTAATTTATTTATACCCCAGATAGAAGCATATCCACAACAGGAGGAATTCTTGAAGCTTTCCAAATAAGGTTCCCCATGATTGATCCAAGGGATGCACAAAATTGGCTCTGCTGCTGCATCTGGTTGCGCACTTTGAATATTTCAGCCTGCATCCAACCCATGTGTTCCTGCTGGCTAGCCCATTCATTTTGCAAGTCTTCATACTTTTGTCGTAGGTATCGCAGTTCACTATGTAGTTCAGTCATTGCTAAAAATATAGATGTCGGGCTAACTGTTTTATTAGTTGGGTACATTTTATTATTTATCACAATGAAGTAACAAGAAATGCAGTTTAATATCCTGGAATAGTAATTCTAAACTGGCCACCAGATGTTTTCATGAATAAAACGAGAGACAGTAACCAGAGTTATGGCGTTGTTAAGTTTCAGTCATGGGATTGTTTCCTGCATATCATGAATAAATTTAATACCGAAACATTATTTTACACATTGAGTGCTTAAGTTACTTGTATGCTCTGAATCATACATATCAAAATGTTATTTAAGATTAAAACAACCATTACTCATTTGTTGTGACTGAGTGTAACCATGGCATTTTTGGTCTCAAACCAGTTGCACTGGAAGGGCACTGTATGTAAGTATAATTTAGTGATTCTCAAAGTTTAACCTATTAACTAATTTAAAATGCCTATCAGAAGAAATTGGTTAAAGCATGGAACTTCATGCCTCTTGTAACACTGTGGCATTCTTTCCACTGTTCTATTTTATTTACATTGTTAAATTGAAATGGGCTCTATAAGAGGTCCATAGATCAATAACATTTGAGAACTAGTCTTGAGTTACAGGTTTCAGCATTGCTGTCAGTATTACAGCCCAACATAACCTCAGACTCCTATCTTTACTTATATGTATGCTTCTTATAGTGCATTACTGATAATAAATATTTTAATTTTGATTATATTACCTTGATGTGTGCCATGAAGCTGAGAACCAATTAAAAACTCTGTGTTTTTACAAAGAGTTTCTGTTTCACGTTGCAAGCGTGTTAGGTCTGAATCTAGACAGACAAAAGCTGGAGATGAAGTAAAGTCAGCAAACAGGCCATGGAGATTGCTGCTGATAGAACTCAGAGCAGTAATTATTTCATCCTGTAAAGCCATTCACATTTATTTTAAATTTCTGATACAGAAGGATAATGTTAACAGTAATAATATAATTTGGGTCTTTTTAATTATATTTCTCCACTTTTATAATTAGTCTTGGAAAAATAATATTTTTGTGCTATTATGTTGCAAACTTTATTTTGGCAGCTATTACACATTTAATTATAAATCCAAAAGTGAAATAAATGATTTGGAATTTCATAAATGTTTGTTAATATTTCTAAATTGAATGTCACTGGGGTGTTTACCAGCATATTATCAAATCCTTGTAACTGTATGTATTATCACAGATTACAATTATTAAACAATGCTTTCTTTTGTATGACACTGAAGTCATCCATGCTTACCATGAAGTCACTTTCTTCACACAAACCGTCAATGGAAGTGCTGCTAAATATAAATGTTGGTTCTGTCATTTTTTTCTGTATTCTGCTGATCTCACTATTTTAAACTGACACTTGCCTTTGAGAACTGTAACGAATAATATTGTAGGAGTCTAAGCTAAGAAAACATTAACTTCTTGCACGACCTGTATAAAGGCACAATAACCTGGAAAAATTAAAATCGAATTACAATAACTCGTGTGTTATTAAGCATTAATAATGCAATTTCATTTTAGGCGCCATTTTTAAACTCTGCAGCTGGACGTATTCGTTTGTAATCAATATATTTTCTGAGGCGGGTACTTGAGTACTTAATAATGAGCCTTCGTGTCCCTTAAAAGAAGGGGATTTTCTTCACTACCAGCCAGGGCGGATTTCAGTTTTTGGTACCACTGGGCGAAACACATCTCGCTGTTGGATCATGTCAGGCAAAACAGCATTTGAAGCTTAACCAAAAATGCAATAAGAGTGAATACAACTTCAGCGAGGGGAATGAAGTTTGATTGTTGCGTCATATCGAAAATGCAATACATACTTATTATCCACAAAGAAAATATCAGTGCCCAGCGATAGAATGTGCGAAAATTGATTTTTTTTTAAATACTGATTTTGAGGCTGCCGGGTGCGCCGGTACGTTAGGACAGCCCTATTATTACGTTATTTGAGTGTTATGGCGATGGATATATTGTATTAATATAGATCAACCTTACAGTTACAGGACTATGTACATTCGCTTTCTCATGGAGCCATTGAAAAGGAAGAAGGAAAGGTAAATTCGTCACAGAAGAATATTCGTGAACTCTATATAGGCCTACGTACTCACTTTCAAAACTTCGAACTTACAGTTATGAAACATTCAGTTGTAGTTATTTTACCTGCATGTTAAACTCTACTAAAAGTCGTTATGTTTATTTTTATTATATTCCGCAGCCTTTAGTAGTAAATTCATGTTCGTGATGTTGTAAGTGCTTTGTTAAAATAAATAGTAAATGTCCTTTTCGTTGCATATTTCTTACATTGGCCTTTTTGTATAGGCCTACTGACCCAGACCTACTGGGCTGACATCTTTTGCGTAACCTTCAACGAGTTTTCCTATATTATCCCAGCCTCTGACTGCCCGTAGTCATTCGAGCAGTTCAACTTGAACCGTCAGTGCCTGGAAATAATTGTCTTTTGTTGGTAAGTTAGTAACGCAGAGGTAATGTACTTCCCATGGAAGTTCATAATTGCCACACTGGATAATTTTAATTATCTTTTTACAAATATTGAAACCTATTCTATAATCGATTCTAAATCTCGATGAAAATTATAAACAGGCTCAACACATTAATCCAATAAATAGCAACATTCACTTGCGTCATATACTGCGACTGAAAATTGCCACTGTAGAGTTTTTGTTGGGGGGGGGGGGG